ACCAATTTGATCAGTTAATGTGTTTTTATGCATAGTGCTTCAGCAGTTGACATATATAGAGCTCAGCGGAAACATATAAATGATAGCATCTGACCAATGAGAATTTCGCGTCACGATTTGAGACGCAGATATTCAAATTCATTAGTTATCGATGCAGGCTCTCAATTCAGCTTGAGAGCCTGTTCGCAGGCTAGTGAATTAGCTGCATGAATCCTTTAATAATTATTTTACTAGTGTTGGACCTGATATTGCCAATACCATTGAAAACAGTGACACAAATTTTATGGACTATTTAACGAAAACAACAACAAGTGTTTTCAAAATTTCAAGCAGTTTCTGTGGCCAAAGTGAATAAATTTCTTCGGTTCTTAAGTGCCTGTAAATCTACTGGAATTGATAAAATTCCTGCCAAAATAATTCGAATTGATGCTCCAGTAATTGCTGACCCGTTAACATTGATTTTTAACTCGGCAATTTTTAATGAAAAAAAAGGTCTAGGAAACTTATTTAATAATTATCGTCCTATTTCCATTCTACCTGTTATTATGTTCTTAGTAAAGTTTTTGAAAAAATACTACATGAACAATTATATGATTATTTTGTCTCGAATAATTTGCTATCTGATCGTCAATTTGGCTTTCGACAGTATATTCCGTAGCATCTGTCCTTCGTGCATGGACCGTGGTAAAATTATAACATCCCAGTATTTCTTGACTTACAGAAATTGCTTTTGATATTATTAACCACGATATTTTACTGAAGAAACTTGATATGTATGGTACGGAATTATACCAGCATTAAATCTTTTAAGAAGTTATTTAAATAACAGAACACAGCACCCAAACGACTATCTGACATTTTCCGAGAAACGCCTTCCTCCCGGCATTACAATTTGAGAGGTTCTTCCACTAAATTCTATTTGCCCCAACCTAAAACTGACTATCTTAAAAAGAGTCTTAGCTATAGAGGGGTTAAACTGTGGAATAGCCTCTCTGATAGGCCTTTTCCGATTGCGCTGAGCACTTTTTGAGCACTTTTTTTTGTTTGGAGCACCATTTTGCATGTTGAGCAACGTTGAGCACTTTTTCGCACTTTGGGCAACATTTGAGCAATATTTCACATTTCGAGCGAATTTTGAGCAACAAAAAGTTAGCGATTATAGAATTCGATTCGTACTTCGATTAACTAAACATACAGTTCGGAGTAAGGTTTAAAAATTGACGGGTATTATACTATTGTTTTATATATAATTTAGGTATAACTCCAAAAGAAAAGCCGTACAGCTGCATATGACATTACAGTTAAAAAATTAGAACGCTGACTTTTTCGAGTTCTCTTTTTTTTGTCGTAAACAACTCCATATACGGAAGTTTGTTCCATATATGGAGAAGGACGTGGAAACAGATTTTAAAAAATGCTGATTTTAAAAAATTTACGAAAATCTTAGAGGTAACTGTTCACAATTTTAGCACTTTTTGAGCACTTTTTGAGCACTTTTTAGCCATTTTTGCCAGCACTTTTTTAGGATTTTACCAGCGCAATCGGGAAAGGCCTACTCTCTGATGATTTACGAAATAAGGAATCGCTTGCTGCCTCTAAAACCAGTATTGTAACACCTGGCCAAATTAATCAATGATTTATTTCTTTCGCTATGTATATATCGAAATTCTATATTTCCTTAAAAATTGATTTATGATACTTGTATTTGTATTTGAATCTCTAATTATTTGCATGCTGTAATTCTAGTGTCTGTATTATAACTAAATTTCTATTTGATTATGTAATCTGGTTTTTTAATATCTACGCCCCCCCCCCCCCTTTGAAATCAGGTATGTATCGCTGTAGGGGTCAGCGTAGTAAAATAAAGTTTTTCCTGCCTAGTATATATGATACGTAAGGCTCACTATATACGACAGGGTCCAAGAACAGTGCCAGTGGATACTAGAACGATGAAGAAGTTAAACAGAGAATGGTTTCCAAGTTATCTTGAACTAAACCATTGGTATGGTGTCTACTGTCCCGAGACTCTAACGAAATGTGGGATGTATGGGAAAAAATGCCGATGGAAACTATCGATAAGCACGCACCACTTATAGATCATGGAGAATTAGAAATAGGAAATCCCCTGAGGATTACAAAGGAAATCCATCCGATAAGAAAGTCATCAGAGTAAAGATATATTACCAAGATTACCTAAAAAAAGAAAGCTATTACATCCAATGATCCTGAAATCTGGCATCAATATCGACAAGCTCTAAATCACATTAATAACGAAAAAACTAAGCAAGCTGAAAGCTTACTATAAGAATAACCTTAAATTGAATGAAGGCGACATGAAAAAAACATGGAATCTTGTAAATGAGTTAAGAAATGTAAGCAAAACTAAACGAATAACACAATTAAATTTCGAAGAGCGAGAAAAAACCGCCCCTATAGAAATAGCTGAAACATATAATAGCTATACCTCTCAGATATTGGCGAAAAACTCGCTTCTAAAATTCCTGTTCCTGTCCATAATCCATGTTTTTATCCAACTGATAAATCTTTTTCATGTTAAAACTCCTTCCATTAACACAGTTTATCAACTGATGAGTACGATAGATGAGAAGAAGTCGGCTGGTCTGGTTAATACAGCATATTAACAAACTAGCTATTGAAGATAGCTGCAAGTGTGATTGCACCTTCCTTAACAGGAATATTCACTGCATCCATTATAGTACCGGAAAATTTCCGTATGAAAGGAAGGCAAGTAGAGTAACGCCAATATTTTTAAAAGAGTGGCACAAGAAGTAACCCAGGCAACTATCGTCCTTTTTCCATTATTCCATGTGTTGCTAAAATATTTGACAAAATTGTTCTTGATCAACTATATGGGTATCTCAACTCAAATATTTTGCAAAATAGTTGCCAATCTGGATTTCGGTCATTTCATAGTACCTTAACAGCGTTGCTAGAAGCCACAAGCGACTGGTCCATGAATATTGACAATGTGACGTAGTTGATGGATCAATACGATCATGTTGCCAATCAGGCAAGTCTAATGGCTGTGGCGGGTTTTCCGTTATCCGCAAACTACGTCACAAGGCAGACTTTTTAAACAGGTCTATTAACTGGGTTGTTTTTATTGATTTAAAGAAAGTTTTTGATACGATCGATCACTTTTTAAACAGGTCTATTAACTGGGTTGTTTTTATTGATTTAAAGAAAGTTTTTGATACGATCGATCATCAAATTGTTTTACAAAAGCTTAAAACCTATGGAACTGACGAAAATACTATTAATCTTACCTGGTTTCATTCGTATATCTCACCTGATAGAACTCAAAAGTGCCAGGTAAATGAACAATTTTCAGATTCTGTGCAAGTGACTTGTGGTTAGCCCCCAAGGTGGCAGTCTATGGCCACTTTATTTCTCATGTATATCAATGATCTACCAAACTGTCTTAGTCATGCATTCCCAAGAATGTTTGCCGATGATACAAGTATCAGTTATGCAACTGATTCAGCCAAAGAGCTCCAAAATGTCATCAATTCTGAATTGAAAGGTCTCGATGATTGGCTTTTTACAAATAAGCTAAGCTTAAATATTATAAAAACAGAATTTATGGTAATTGGATCTAGGCAGAGAATAAAAACGTTAAATAATGAAATGCATGAATAGTGAGATAAATGGTGATGTGATCAAGTCGCTTCAGTCACATCCTTAGCGGTCTACCTTGATGTTCACGTTATGTGGTCTGTGCTAACCTCTTCCCATCACTCCTTGCGCGCTCACTTTTTCCTCACTAGAAACTTCATGTAAGCCTCTGCGGAGGAGAGGGTCGCTGTGCTATTTTTGCCGCTGTCAATCAAGAGGATATATGCGTTAATGTCATGTGCTAATAACGCAATAACAACGGTTTGGAAATTTATTTTTAGCTGTGATTTTAAAGGGGGCGGTATCCGAAATATAGTACGTAGCCAAAACCGGCAGACGGTCTTTCCCACTTGAGCGTCTGCCAAGCAGGCTAAGTGGGCAGTTGCGTAACTTGCGTTTCAGAGTGGGCCAGATGAAAAAATCAGGACCGCTCTGAAAAGCTTCTCAACCAATCAGATTGCTTCATTTTCACTGATAAAAAATAAATGATGTTATGCATTACCTTATTTCAAATATATGACCGAAAATGTTATCATCTCACTCGCAAGCTATTCGTCGTTTTATTTTGTTTTAATTTTTTACAGCTATATCCCTCAGATTGCAGGGCCCTCTAAGTGGAAATGGTACTGGTCGAGTGGAAATATTCTATAATGGGGAATGGGGAACAATCTGTGATGATGGTTGGGATGTAGATGATGCAAGAGTTGTATGTCGTCAGCTTGGTTATATACATGATGTTAGAGCTCTTCAAGGGAGCGAAGTTTCAGATGGTAGTGGACCGATATGGTTGGATGATGTCGTTTGTACTGGGAGTGAAGAAAATCTGATCAGTTGTTCTCATAATGGATGGCGAATTCAAAATTGCGAGCATGATGAAGACGCTGGAGTGGAATGCTCTTCAAGAGGTAATATTATCATTCGTATAAAATTGGTATGACACTGTGGTACACAACAATCACATAACTCCTAATAGAACATAACTTACGAATTATAAAAAAGATGGTGCCGCAAGTTGCATGCCGGTGACGTCGAAAATTTCAGATATTCTGCAACAAAATTATTTAGATAGGAAAGTAAGTATAAGGTTTTCGAAATATTCATCGGGACCGTACACAGCGCGGGGGAAGGGGGGCAATTGTCCCCTAGAGAAAACGATATATTTATAGGTTTTTACAATGACATTATTAATTATTCTTTGCATGGGTGTATTGGGGACTTTTTTCGGCATATAGGCCTTACTGCCCCCTGGTGAAAAAATCCTGCGTACGGCCCTGATATTCATAATGTCACATAGTTTGATAAACAAAACAAACTGGATGTAAAACTAACAATTAATGAATATTGGTATGATAGTACTTTTTGCGAGTTACAATGTTGAAAGAATAACTCAAATAGAGAACATTTTCCAAATAATTATATCACATCACTAAATAACACGGATGCATCCGTGAACACTTTTGTTCAACGAAAGATTAAATTTATATATGTCACTCTATAATAAGTGGTTTTTTTTCGATTAAGTTCATTTGGTCCATATTTTTTTTCAAGTGTGTCTTTAATAAATAAGGCTAGGGGAAAGTGTAACCAATCCTATTCCCAGGGCATTTCCCGTTTTGACTCTTGTCCTTTGTTAAAGGCGCTTAAAATAAATAACCCACAGGAACTTAGTGGAGAGCTTATAATAACAGTCACCGACATTAGCATGCACCGGAAATTTAGTACCAGTTAAATAGGTAAAAATAAAAGAAATTAGTATTAATAATATGATTAATTTAAATAAACATCTTAATTTGTGTATTATATACAGCATGCATGAGCGGGCGCGTGTTGCATGTATGAGAGATAGCTACAAACACAACTCAAAAACAGTGATTCTGTAAATATCTTATGCAACACAGACACGGATGCTGTGTTAAATGATGCATAAGATATTTATAGACCTTTTCAGAATGAAAAGGTTGGTACGCATCAATAATCTTGAATACTAGAATGTTGCATGATGAGAAAAAACGACTTTAGTTTATGTAAATCAGTTGTATATTTCATCTGATATAAAGCTCTTTCACATTCATGAATTTGTTTGTGTTCAATTCATGACTGATTATTAATGATAATTATAATATTTTAGACACGAAATGTGGCGGTACTTGCCATTCGATGGCTGGATGCGTGCCAGATGGGAAAAGCTATAAATGTCAATGTAAAGTTGGGTTTTCTGGAGACGGAAAATCCTGTGCAGGTATACATAAACTAAAATGTTATCTTATTTTCTATCGCACCCTGCCTATTTCACCGCGTGCGAATCCCACATCACCCTCGGTCCCAGGGCCGCACGGTGACACTGCGTTGCCGAAGGCCCTGGCGAAAACCAATACCGGAACTTCAAAAATCTTGTAGTTTGCCGGAAGTGAACGTGCTCGCGGCCAGTAAAAATGTTGACTCTGCATTTTTTTTGCAAGGAGTGAAATTTTAAGAATTTCTTGAAAGTAATAATTTTACATGCAAGACAAACATTAATTTGTTATGGTTATTTCACCATTAAATGTTTTAA